GGAAGGGGATGGTGTGAGCCTCAACCCATGCTGTTTTTTCTTCTTTTTTAAGCTTTTATTTTATTTTTTTATTATTTACTCAAAAATAATTTTTTCCCATAATTAATGGTTATTTTTTATTTTCTTATAGACTCATTAACTAAAATTAAATACTAATATAAATTCATTTAGTACTTTTTTTTTAATTTGATATTTTAAAAAATAATTAATTAATTGCATATTTTATTTTATTTCTATTATTTTATTTTTATTGATCAAAATAAAAAATATTCCTAGAATATATATATATATATATAATAAAAAGTAATTAACACTAATTTTGAGAATTTGTTATATATATAACAAATTCTCAAAATTAGTGTTAATTAATTTTTATTTTACATCTAATTTCTTTAATTATTTTAGATATTAAAACATATTATATAGAATTAACCACGACAACGTGCGGGTATCATGCTGTGCTTCTCTATTCATGAGAACATGCATAACCTTTTCTGAAAGCCACATAACACTGATCCACTCAGATCTTAGCCTCGATCCATGTACTAAAAAGACTTGATCTGGAGAATTAATACGGTTTTTCTCTCCTTACTGATCACTATCACAGTATGCATGCAATCAATGTCTATCATAACATGCCATATTTAAGGAAACAACTCGTTGTAATGGAGATGCAATGTTATTGTCAGATGTTATTCTTGTTCTACCGCGAAAACACATTATTGTTGGGCATAGAATGTTCATGCAGTTACAATTCAGAAAAATCTCAGCCAGAGGCCAATATTTCCATACGAGAAACGAGTCAATTCGAAAAACAAAAGGGAGAAGAAGTGACTTATGAAAAGGCATCGTCATTAATATCCACATCTCATGATGTAACTGAACAAATAATACAGAGAGCGCAGAAGTCCCGAAGGAAATTGCACAGACAATAAATTAATCCAGCAGAAGTGCAGTCGCTGGGCCACTGATCAAGGAAGAGAAAGTTTAGGACTAGGCACGCAAATGATGGGGTTCATCATTTTATTCATGAATTAACAGACAGAAGTGGAATACTGATAGTCAATGATAGTGTTTAGTTTTGGAGGACGCATAGGAGGAGGTGTCAGATAAACCATAGAAGGAGGGGGAGGAGGAGATTGATTTTTATTTTTTGTAGTAAGGTGCTATAGTATATACAGTCTGAGCAATGGTGAGGGCAAAAAGGAAGAGCGCAGCGATAAGAGACAGACCTGCCCATGGATTTCTGAAATAGGTGTGAATGAGATTGGCCCACCACTCATTCCAAGGCTTCTGGCAGTAGGCATTTACCTGCTTGTGCACCGTTTCGAGACTGCTGTCTGGGTCCAACGCAATGTCCTTGGACAGAGTGTTGAACAGTTTGGCAACAGCTTTGTCACTTCCAATGACATTCTTGATGATCCCTCTAGAGCAAAGGAGGGCGACATCTCTCTCACTGTTAATGATATTATCCATGAAGAAGACATAAGATGTTACCTCAGTGCCTGCATTAACATGGAAGCGTTCAAATGCCATCAGATTGAGAAACATTGTCTCAGTGGCATCATCCACCACGATGGCGGGAAGTCTAAGGACGCGTCCATCGAATGAAACGGCTTTAAAGCTTTTAGTTTCACTTGTCCTGAACTGTATTCCAGCTTCATTGAGCTCGGTTGCAGACCGGACTATGTCACTGGCCCCTCTATATTTTGCATCTCGTGGCCGTCTGATGCGAAATTTTTTCCTGAAGTTGACTTCCTGAAGCTGGTTCTTCCTATACAAATCTACTATATGCAAGCCTTTACCCAGGTTTGGAGCCGGTGTCTCATTGCCGAAATTCTGTAATATGAGCTTGTTGACAAATTCTTCATTCTGTATAGAAGTAAAAGTTTTCATCAGTGAAGAATCGAACAAGAGAAGAATCGTATAATTTTGCGACTCAGTAGTATACCTTAGCTCCATCGCTTTCAACAGCGGCAAGCTTGTAAAGAACCAGCATGGGCAGTTGATTTTCAAGCATCAACATGTCACGCTTGATAAATGGCAGGACATAAAGCTTCCCATGTCTGCTAAAAATTGGATCACTGGAAGCATATTCAGTCGGTTTATGATCATCAACCTTAATGCTTAAGATTTCCAGCATGAAACAGCCATCAAGAATCATCAGTTGCAGAAAACTGCTGTTGTTGTTTTCCCATGATGCAGCTAGCCGATCATAGGAATCTTTCAGAACCTCCACTTCTTTCTCTAAAGCTTCTAAGAAAGGATCTAAAGATTTCCTAGATCTCTTTAGATATTGAAGGACGGCACGCTCCTTGTGCTCTTCCATTGGCTTTAGAAGTTCTTCCCCGTGATGGTAAGGGCCGAAGGAAACTGTTTGAGGCACAAAAGCTTTCTTGTTCAGGTCTGTCACGGAGGCAGGTAATCTGTAGATTGAACGTTTCTCCCAATAATCCGACGGCCGTCTCATGCTCTCCAGTTTTTTATTAATCTCAACAACCCAGCTGTCCATCTTGGCCATCGCTCCGAATTGCTTTAATGTTTAACATATAGTTTAAAGGACTCCAAAAATGTTCTGATTTCCTCCTCATATACACATGTTTATATCTATGCATTTCTGAAAGGTGAGAACAGTCTCTCGATTAAGCATCCAAGTAAGAGATTTTTTTTGTTCAATGCTTCGGCGACAAGAAATTGATTGTCCTGCAGGTGCTACCAAAGATTTATTCTTCAAATAGCTATTGGCGTTCTGAAACCAAAAGAACAGCATTAATTCCCATGTAAAACTGCAGAAGTATCTCTTCTTGAATAGCAGTAACTTACTAAAAGAAGCATCGTCAATTCCTTTCTTTAAAATTGCAGTTCAGAATAACTCCCAGGCCCCAGCATACTCTCGCTGTCACCAATACTGCCCCACCTTTGGAATCCATTCATTTTTTTAACAAGATCTTGCAGGCAAGTCCATTCCATAATGCGCATCCCTCGTGACATCAGAACATTTTGAAGTCGAGCTGAGAAACAATGTGCAAAACGTTTAGTATGTAGGGATAAATTACTGCATCCATGTTTTTGGGAAAAAAATTCCACCTCCTCTAGGATGGTTTTGGAGATAATTTGTTTTCCAAATGGAGCAAAAGTGGGCAACCAACTCGATCTCTATTGGCATTCGAGAGAGGGCCAAATTACAAGTGGGAGCACAGTCCTCTTGTCAAAAGGATATTCATTCTCTACTCTAATCCAACTTGCACATGTACTAAAACAGAATGTAATTTCATGCTTACATAAACAAAACTGTGTCATTTTATGCTTTTATGATTTGAAATCACTTCGTTTTACCAAAAAAAAAAAAAAAAAGGGATTTTCTTATATATTTTATACATTTTTTCACTTTAGACATTCGAATTACAATTTTATACAAAATAATTCCTAACTTTAATTTTTACTACAGCAAGGTCCCTATACTTTTTATAATTGGGTTATGCTTCCAGGCGTCTGGCTATTTCTAGACGTGTGAGTCTGCATGGTTGTCTCCAAGTCCATACGGAATGACCTGGTATGAGCCCTAGCCTAACCTCTCTTTTTTTTCACCCAAAATAATTTTTTTTTTTTTTACCTCCTCATGTAATTGAGTTTTTTTTTTTTTTTCAATTCAAATATTTCAAATAGATGATTTAAACCCATAACATTTTACAATTACAGAGAACTCACTGCCACTAGACCAAAATGTTATCGGTCCGACACCTTCCGTGCGTTATTTCCATTCTACCCAATTTTAATTTGCTTCACAAGGACCATGATTCCATGTATCTTGAAATCTCTAATCCTGAATTGTGTTCCAACTTTTGCAAATTAATGTCATACCTATAACATATTAAAATTACTTAGACAGGATTTTCAAATAGTGCTATTTTCTGCATATTTGCTTCAGCAATAGCACCAAAAAACTGGAAATTTTCTTAAGAATTATATACATGTACCTTCGTAAATATTATATATATAGTAATAAGTTAATCTAGCAGCTAAAGTCAGAAAAATTGTGTATTAAAATGATTTTGTTAATTTTTCACCACCAATCAGCATTTAATTTACAGAGCATCATAGGGTAATTTTTGGGATCTAAACCACACTTCTTTTTACTAAAATCATTCACAGAAAAGCATCAAGGAATATAAACATGTGTGATGCATCATGGAAGGTGTCTTGATTACGCACATTAAGTTCTTCTCAATTTTAGGAAATTGATTCAATATTTTTCAATCCACTTCTGAGCAACATGTGCTATATTGGGCCAATCTTCTCCGCCTTCTTGACACCTTTCTTCTAGCAACTCGCACTCATTGATTGACAATGAGCAAAGTGAGGTTGGCAACCCCGACATAGGCAATGATGCAATTTTGGGCAAGGTCGTATACCCAAATATTCAAGAGATTATGCAGACCCATAGGAAGTGATTAAAGGTTTGCACAGGCTGAAATTCGTGAACTCTTGAGTGAGCTCGGGAGCTTCTCTGCTGGAAAAGATACAAGTCTAGGGGGCTTGACAATGTTTGGGTCTTGAAGAGATAATAGACTTTGAAGTCCATTTGGTAGATCCTTCAAATCATTGCACGCTTCAATTGAAAGATAATGCAGAGAGGAAGGAAACCCTTTTTCCTGAAAATGACTTTAGTTTCGGACAAAACAAAATTTCTAAGCATTGGAGGGAAGGAAGATCATGTAAGCCTATCTCCTCTTGCAATGCCTTTTAACTGATAAAATTTCTGGATTTTGATTTGTTTCAGTGCACTTAATTAGAGGCTGTAAAAGGCCTTCAGGAAATACTTCTGTCCTCTGAAAGTTTGAAATTTTCAGAGAGGATAGAGAGGTGAGGAATTGGACTGAACTCCATATTGTCTCGTGACAAACATATAGCAACAGTTCACACAAAGATGGAAATTTTGGAAGACTTGTAATATTGGGGCAGCTCAGAACAGCAAGCTCCTGCAGCATTGGAAATTCACCTCAGTCAATCTTCAATGGGAAAGGTAAACCTTTGAACAACAACCAGAAATCATCATCAGATAAACCTTCCAAACGGAAAGGTGGATATATGCCCATGATTGATGCAACCTTTTCACTTCTGGTAGTTACAATGATTTTACTTCCAAATGCTTCAGCTCTGAAAGGAAGGCGTACCACATCCCAGTCACTCTTCCTCTCATGCCACACATCATCAAGCACAACCAAGAACCTTTTCCCCCTCAACATATCCTGGAGACTTGTTTGAAGGATATTCAAATCCATGAGATCACAACTTTTCCTCTCAACAGACTCCAAGATTGATTTTGTCGGCCTTTGAGCATTGAAATGATGAGAGACACAAATCCACATCTTCAACTCGAAATAGCAAGCCACAGTTTTGTTATCTTTCCCAGCCCTCCCATGCCCACGACGGGAATAATCCCAACGTCATTTCCACAGTGTTCATCAGATACTAACAACTTTATTATCTTCTTCTGATCCTCCATCCTACCGAGAACCCATGACGCATCTATAAAGGAGCTAGTTTGCAACGTCTCCTTATCTCTCGTTTCCGACAATCTTGCTCCAACCCCTCTCTGAAACCCAGCCCATCCCTTTCTTTAGCTATTTCATCTAGCCTGTCATTCATTTCCTTTATCTTAGGAGCTAACATTAGTTTAAAGAGAAAATCTGTAGATAGAAAGATCAAACCGCTTACCGTTTTGCTCTTGGTTAAACTGAAATGCTTCAGTTGCAACCTCATCTAGCACATCATCTGCATCATAAGCTACTTATTTGAGATCACTCAGCCAAAGTTTCACTGCCATGTCATTTATTAATTATTTTAACTTAGTAAAATTTTGAAAAGAAAAGAAAAACTGATTGATTAATTATTTTTGCTCATTTGTTATGATTTTATAATAGTTACTAATTCTTTTAACTTAATAAAAATTTGGAAAAAACTGATTTTAGATGAAAAATTATATTTTTATTTTTAAGTGATGCTATCGCCACATATTTTATTATACTTATTAATTCTTTTAAATTAATAAAAATTTTGAAAAAAAAAATCATTTTAAGCAGAAAAATATATTTTTTACCTTTTAAGGTAACACTATCACCATACAAATAGTCAACGTTAATCAACTAATAGAATTTAATAAACTAGATGAAAAAGTTAATGGAGAAACAGAATTATACCGACCCTCAATAATGTAAGATTTTTTATGCCCTATATCTAAGTAGAATGATTAAAACCAACTTTTTAAAATAGGACAAGGATAAAATGTGTATTTAATCCTTTATTTGCCTTGCCCCAGCATCATTCAGCACAGCTTGGATTTTATAGACTTTTTGTTAGTTTCCTGAGATCCTTGTCGATGCCGATCCATGCACCGAATTCTCTCAAGATAGGTGAAGCCAAGTTTTGAAGAGCTACCTCCAATGCAGCAGACAGAGAAGCCTCTCCAATGACTAGACATTTCTTCCTCAATAACAAATAAAGTAAATTTGAACAAAAACCAATGAGCAGAACTATGAAAGTCAAAAAAACCTATTTTGTGAAATTGGTTGTGGCTTGTGGTCAGATTATGTGGGTGGAAATCATGGAACCAGCGTGGAAAAGGGTAACAGTAGGAAAGGAGTCGAAGTCTTTATCATGCAGTGCTAATGCCCATAATCAAGTGGATGACTTTTTGTCCAGCAGAATTGACCAGAGCGGTCGGCAGTTTAATGCAGCGGTAAAAATCTCAAGTCTTTTAATAAACATTCTCAAATTTTCAAGATTAATCATTCTTGATCTGTTAAAAAAAATAAAAAAATCATCCTGGTAAAGATCTTGCTACAATATTTGAAATACCTACATGGATGGTTTGGAGTTGGACTTTAGACCCGCAGAAAGCTGGTGGCAAATTGACAATTATGCTCAAAATGATGAAAAGTGAGGGCCCAACAGACTGGTACCATAAATAACATGATCCTCATAAGAGCACTGTCGCACTTCATAAAACCAGTGAATGGTAGTTTTAGGCATCCACAATCTACATTTCTTCCATTGACTTGAATTTGATAATTTAGGAATTCAATGAGAAAAGTTCAAAGTTAATAACTCAGAGGTTCAGAACATATCATGCAGAAGGCTTCAAGTTTGTGAAAATGCTAATGCAAAGATGCAGTCAACCACCAACCTTGATGGATGGTTATTGCAAACATCAAGCTCAGATCCAGGTCACATGCACATAATCCAATCATCATAGAACATATCAGAACCTATGCCAACCAGTAGAGTGATGAAATGCAATGAGTTCAAACACAATGCACCAACATAATAACGTTATTATTTGAAATCTGGTTAAAGTTTCGGAATTTTTACACCATTTGAACCTGTAAGTAGCATTCAGCTTTGCAACTTAGTTCTTCACAGTAGTAGTATGCATGTTAACAAATTAAATATAACCTACTTGACAAAATCTTCTATCATATTCTGTGGTATCAGATTTGATATAGTGTATCTTAGAACGTCATTGGTGCAAAAAGATTTGTTTTTCCCTTTCCTTTGGATAAAAATCATCACCACAAAAGATGGTGTGAAACATCAAGTTACACAGCGGTAAGTTACAAGGGGACCAAAGACTCCATCACTGTAAGCAATTTTCACCACCTGCCCCTTCTGCAGTCCATAGTATCTCACAATAGCATCGGATTCTAGCACTCTTGGGAGCTGAAATGACATAACAAATATAATTGCCACAAAAACAAAGGAATTGGAACATGCTAGATACTACTACTGTAGCAGTGTTTCAACCTCCTAATTCTTAGAGAAGATCAAAGTAAATATTGCTTGTAACTTCAAATTAATACTTCTAAACAGACATTGAAAGAAACTGTTTTCAGGCATGAGTGTACCCGATAGGCCCTACACCAATCCAGGCTTAATGCATTGCTCCTAAATTGGCAATGAAAAGCTATACGGAAACAATCTGCTTTGTAAGGTTTCTTCTATGTGTTATTCATATTCCACCAAAATCAAATCTTGTGGAACTAAAAGGAGCAATTAGGTAATAATTTCAGGGATCAGGGAGGCCTCTAAATGTGAAATGTAATGCATGTCTGGTTAAATCCACACAAGGGTGTTTAAGGCAAAATTATGTCCCTTTCATAATGTCATTCACATTTTTGGCATCTCATCCTATAACTACATGATACCTGTTTGTCTTCCAACTTGTACTTGTTCAAAACCTGTTGCTTCTGGTCAGCAGTTAGTATATCCAGCTTCGGCTGCAGAACATGCTTGGTGATGTTCACCAGCAGGTCAGTTATCTGAATGCAAAGCAAACCATCAAGTGATTGTCAAAAGCTTAAATGAAAAACCTTTTTAAATATAAGCCAAAAGGACAATAACCTATATAAGAGGAAATGCTAATCGGTTGACAATTTCCTTAACTTTGGTGGCAAAATAGAAAAACATAGGTTACCAATAGCATCACAGACACGATTTAAGAGTGACTAGCATGGCCTCTAGCAGTAAGAAAATAGCATCATTCTTTAAATTCCTGGCCACTAAATTTTTCCTAATGCCCATACTGCAAATCTGCAGTATGAAAATTTATTTTGACAACAGGGAACATACTTGAAAAACCTCCACTTTGAAGGGAAACTTCTCCAGCTCTTTCTTAGCAAAGTGGTTCATTTTGCTTTGCAAGATCAGTATCAGCCCATGTAGACTCTCTTTGTTGAGAATTTGACCATAAACAGCCCTGATATTTGCTATTTTAATTTCATCAGTTCCCAAGAAGATGACCAGGGTCTGCAGAGCAGTTCAAAAAAATGATGACCAGGACTTCCATACAAATTTTGCCTAATAGAAAGTACTTCAACAAGAACAGCTCCTGTATCATAATTCCAACTTTACATGTTACTACAAGCATGATATTTTTAAGATAACATAAAATGAGGGGAAAAAAGGAATCCCAGTTTTGTTCCCACAAAATCCAATTTGAAGACAGTCCTTTCCTTCATCATTTTTGTATAACCTGCACTACTGTGTTTGCAAGACCAAAACTTTTTAACAATTCACTAAACTTGTAAAGACAAAAAGATGCTTCCCCCTGGAACAAGTCATAAAATGCAACAAATAAGCAACGATAATAATAAAAAAAAGTAAAACTGAGTCTATTTTTCTCTATTAAATCAAAACAAACATACCCCATCATAAATCTTTTAAAAAAAAAAAAATCATAAAATACCTGTTGGTTTGCATAAGCACCAACCAATTTTCAGTAAAATAACTCAAAACAGCCAATTATTTTCCCTTTTCTTCAATCAAAACAAAATAAAAACACAACATTTTAAACATTCTACTGAGAAACCAAACCAAAAGGCACTAACTTTAAACAAATAATGCAAAAACGTGCCACCTTTACACTTCCTCTGTTGTCAACACAAAAACCCCATGAAAATAAACAAATTAAAAAAAATCACTATATTATTATTATAAAAACCCATATCATAAACGAGACTAAAATATTCAATTAAATTATAGAAATAATAAGTATAGAAAAATAAAAATAAAAATACCTTCTTGAGCGGATTGGAGCGGAGAGAAACACAGAACCGAAGGCTATCGACGTCAGGGCTATTTCCAAAAACGGAACGGAACTCAGTGACCGAGCGAGTGAGGTCTGAATCAGCCACGTCAAAGCCACGGTCTTTGAGCATTTCCAAAACTGTCCTTCGAGAAATGTAGTACCTGAAGCTCTGTGCTGACCCTTCGTCCACCACCTCCGTCAGGCATCGTTCGCGACCGAAAACGCCGTGGACAGAACCACCGTTGCCGTTAAGGGTCTCCGTAGTTGCTGCCATCGTTACCTTCTGATACTCTCTGTCGCTCTCAGTGAATTTCTGCTCTAACCATCCTAACAAACAAGCTGACTTTTACACGCCCGACTCGATACTAGGTCGGCGTGAGCTTTTGCTCCTTCAACTTATATTTTTATGGTTAAAAATATCTAACTAGGAAATTGAGTTTTTTTTTTATTATTATTATTGGTTTTAGGCACGCTTGAACTCTTAAATTTTTAATTTTTGAAAATTTAGTTCGTCTAATGATTTTTATCTATTATTTTTTAGTATTTTGATTTAAAATTTTACACAAACATTGAAAAAAATTCAATCTATTTTTTAAAAAAAATCCAAAAATTTACAAAATTAAAAACTATATTTATTTATTTATTTATTTATTTATTTATTTATTTAACATTAAAAATAAAAAATAAAAAATAATTGTGAAATGATTCTAAATTTTTTTAAGAGTACTACATAAATCGTACTAAATAATTTTTATCATGAAAATAATTACTAATTGTTTTTTTTAAGACAAATAACAAAAAATTGAACTAGGACTACATCTGAAAAAATTAAAAATTCAAAAATTTTCAAAACTAATAAAAAAAATTTAGAAACTCATCCTCAAAAAACTTGAAATTCAAAAATAGTTAGACCATTTTAGGCTATTTTTATTTCACTGGAGTTTGCTATGATTACTTCAAAATTTTATAATTATAGTGTTTTTAAATTTATAAAATTATAGATTACTGAGTAATAAGATAAATTATTACAATATAATAATTAAAAATAAATATTTTGTAACTTAAAAACACAATAATTATAATATTTTCAAATAACTATAGAAATTGTCCATTAAATTATATTGCGGCATATGATTAGTAATTGAGTGTTATAAGATCAGTAACCTTATGGTATTTGATTGGTGAAATAAAATAGTCTCATGAAAATTAATTGGAAAAGCATATATTCCTCAATTAAAAAAAATAGAAAATATTTTTGCACTGAAATCAAATACTATAATTTTGTTTACTTTTTTAGTGTATTTTAATACACAAAATTTGTATGTACACATAGGTTGTGAAAATGTTAAATTTTCCATGATATTTTTCTTGGGCAGTAAAATTACATATGATTTGCTTTTTGTATAACTTTTTGTATAACAAAAAAATTTTGTATAACTTTTAAATGTGATCAACATGTGACAAATGATTATAATAATTAAATTTAAAACAAAAAAAACTAATTAATTTATTTTCTAAAACTAGAGGGACTAATTTATAATTTACTCCTAATTGATGTCAAATTTCTCAAGGCTTTTGTTTTTATTTTTCTTTTTAAGCTTGTTTTTGCTAATAAATATCAAATTACATAGTGCCTATATACAAAAATAGGCAGTCTCTGATCGATCCCTTCCCTGGTCAGCATCATCGTCAACAAAGACTTCCCTTATCATCCTTGATATTTTGAGTCCTATCCTTCTTGATAACGGTAACCCTGCGAACCAAAAACATTTGTTAGTCAAAAATGGCCCTCCAAATTATCATTCTTTCTCATGTACAATGTCAATGAATTAAGAAGCTCATTCTTACTAAACAAGAAATAACAAGTCTCAAGTTCCAGTCTCAATCTGAACCTTGTTTTATATAGAGCTACAGGTAGGGAGGACCTCAATATATATAACATGCAATTTGGAAGGATAATCAATGGACGTTTTCAAAAACATTAGAGACCCAATTGAAATTAAAAAAAAAAATTGTTCGGATACTTAAACGCAAATCTCTATAGAACTGGAGGACTTACTCAAGGTTTACCCATTTAAAGAAGAAGATGGCCACTCTTTGATTTTTTTTCTTTTTTCTTTTTTTCCCAATTTTTTCAGTAGTTTATTCTAATTTCTACCAAACAAGTAATTATATTGTTATTGTGACATAAAAACAACAGTGGGAGAGAGATGCTTACAAGATACAACCATGGAAAGGATAAGAGAGGAAGCCAATTCGTATGAAGCTCTCTTCATATTTTTCGAAACTAGTAGCCTTTCCTTTTTCCCTTGAGAAATTGAATCAGTAGCTTCAACCTAAGATTTCTTGATGATAAAACTTTGTTTTGCACCTTTACTTGCTTGCTGTGGATTCATTTAGGCAAATATTTATAAGGCCGAAATGGATATGTTGGGTATAACAAGCATGGAAAAAAAAAAAAAAAAAAAAAAACAAAGGACAAAATACCAATAATGAATCTTAGTTTAGCACAAAATCTGATCTATATTTCTATAAGTATTATTATATGTTGGTAAACTAGTGAATTTAGAGAGGAATAGTAAATTACAAATCCATTATAATGGATTCAAACATAAATAAATTGATTTTCAGATAAATTTTTTATTTTTATTAATATGTAGAATTTAAATCTTAGAGTAATATTTATCGAAAAATATTAAACTTTATTACTCTCATTCCGAATATAATTAATCTTTTGTTCAATATAAAATAAGGTTATCTTAAGAAGAAAAAATAATTATAATTTAAAAATTTAACTTTTAATGAATTATTTATATTTTATTAATTTTATAAAAATTCATTTACATACAGGTCTGTCCTCTCGGAAGGAAAAAAACTTTAATTGATATATAAATTAATCTAAAAATACTTGAATGATTAGAAAAATAAAGTGAAAAACAACTTTCATAATCAAATTCAAAATGAAGGTTTAATCAAGATAATTCGATCAAAATTTTAATTATGAAAAGGCAATTCCATGGAATCAAACCTCGTAAGAAAAAAAAAAAGGAACTGAATAATTTTGTTGGTAGGATCAAATTTTGCTTGTATTTGATATAACAAAACGAAAACATTAAGAAATTCTCTATTTGGACCTTGAAAAAAACAAAACGAAGAAAATTATTTCTTTCTCCCCACTTTATTCTCTACATTTAACAGTAGACGACGAGAGTTTTATACGAAAGAAAACTTCCTCGAAGACTGAGAGTCTGAGACGACGTGTCATCTGCTTAACAGAACAGCAAATCTGCCATTTACTTGCAACCACCAGCGTCATCGTCGCCATTACAAATTCCAAAAAGCACAGAGCAAGTGAATGAGAGAGAGAAGTGGGTTCTATGGAGGAGCAAGAAAAGCAAAAAATGAAGAACAAAAAGCCATTTTCATCATCTTTTTGCCCAATAAACAATCTTGATGATGGTTGCCTTATGCACATCCTCAGCTTCTTGTCCCCAATTCCAGGTCTGTATCTTTATTTGACCTTTATTTCTGTGTTTTTCTCTGCTTATACGTGTCGCGTGAAGCTTAATTGGCTAAAAAATTAAGCTTTTTTTGCATGTACTTTGGTGAATTCAGGCGTACTTGGCCTTATGCTGCAAACCCCTAATCTTGGAATTTGTTGATAGATCCATGAAAAATTGAGTTTTCAGCTGTTTTTGTCATCTGGGGTTTAGAGATTAGTGTAATTTTGTGAAAAGTGTTGATCTTTGGTTTGTTTTTGCCTAGATTTTGCTAAGTTGACCAATTTTGATGCTTTCTGTGGAGTTTATGGTTTCTTTGGAATTGGAAGACTATGAATTTCAATTCATTTAGTTGATAAAATGCAGATAGAGACAGGGATATTAGTATGATTGTATGAATTATGCCAGTGGACCTTATTATTTTAATTAACTTTTCCATTGCTTATTTAAGGTTCCACAACTGTGGAAGATTTGATTGGAAAGTGCAAACAGAACTTATCTGGGAAAATGAGGGACTGAGAATGTTAAGTTAAAGAACTTGATTTGCAGTGGTTGCATAAATTGTCAATCATTCTTTTAGGTGACTAGATTTGGCTCGGTGAGAGTTGCTTTTATGAGGTGGCTACCATATCTTTCTGTTATTTTTTTTAATGTTTATTATCCTAGGCGAGTACTTTTTTTATATATAAAAAAAAATCTTAACTGGAAAACAACACGATGATAATTTCATGATAAATTCGCACCCTTGACACATGTATGGCATAAGTTTGAGCGACCTGTGTCACGAATTGCTGTTGAGTTTGCAGATCGGTATAACACCGCCCTCGTTTGCCACAGATGGTGTTACTTGGCATGTCATCCTCGCTTGTGGCTCCGAGTAGAACAATCTGCCAAAGGTTTATCAGAACCTGGAGTTTTCCCCAGCATTGAGACAGCTGTCTCTGCTGCTAGGTATGTATGGTCACATTTTCTCCATGTATTTTTCAGTCAGAATAGAGGAAAAGAAAAAATTATCATGATCTTATTGTTCATTTTAGGCCTGGTGACACCATTCTAATTGCAGCAGGTGGGAGGCATCTTGCCTCTAATATTAAAATAAACAAACCTCTTTGCCTGGTATGTGCTAATGATTTATACCTTTGGATGTTATTCTGGCTTTTAACTATAGCCTATGATTAATAAATACCTCGCAAGTAGAGTTGGTGGTGGAATCCTCTGGTGTCAATATCTTCTACATTGGTTCTTGACTAAGAATAAATCAAACAACTTGACCTCAAGGCTGGCCTGGAATAACCATGACTGGGGTTACATTGCTTTAGGGTTCAGGCATTCTTTCGTAGACACTACACAGTGCATAATACTTTGTAGGAAGGGCCAACATTGATTCAACTGAACTTGCCCAATCCATTGTCCTTGTTAGTCCTTTGTGCCTCTTGTTTTGCCCTTGGAAGTTAATCATCTTTGACCAACTGCTTGTTGCTTACCCCATTAACCAAACTATCCATACATAGTTGTTGTTAGCATATGATGGTTCTTTGTCAGGTGCTCATCAGCACACAGTTTAAGTCAACTGAATATTCAAATTTTGATTGGCATCACCTTGGCGAATTGTAAAGTACAGTTCCATTGTAGGATATTTCTTTTTTCTCTTTCAATGATTCTAAATTTTCCCACATGAGAAATCAAGCTTCATGAATCATCATACTCATGTAAAAATAAGCCACAATGTGTGAACCTCCAGAATTTTGACCACAATGTTGTTTTGAGCACGAGGGATGGGAAATGGTATTTGTTTTTGCTAATAGTTACATAAACTTTGTGATAAAACCTATTCAAACTACAGGTGGCTTTCATCCTTTGGTTTATTACCAGGGAAAAGAAAAATGAACTTATGTAGTAGATGAATTTTCCAGATTCTGCATCTTCTATCACAATTTACTTTGTTCAGATTGGTGGTGGTGAGCTTCCTGATGAAACAACTCTCTTATGTTCTCGAGGTTCAGACAGGTATGGTGATTTTTCATTTTCTGCACATCATATTGTTGGATGTTGGTCTGAGTAGAGTTCTCTCTTCACTAAAGTTAAGTGGAGCCTCAGTGCTGTTGGATCTTAATTTCTAATTTTGAAATTGAAGGACAACTTTCGGTCCTCACAATTTATTCTTGTACCATTGGTATGGCATGCACATAGTAGTGATGCACTAATATATATCAGACCATCACTAAAACACGCTAAACTTCTTGTTTATTTCTTTCTATGATTATAATGAGAAAATCTCCTCAAATCAAGTAAGTATCATAAATATGACTAGAGTAAGGTTACATCCCCGCAGAATTTTATGTAACCGGGATGCCTGATTGTCTGGCGCCTTATTAATGTCTCTTTTGATTTTAATGTAAGCTTCTTTCGTTGCCTAGCCTCTGTCAGAGGATTTTGTTGTCCACAGTTTAGAGTGGACTCCTCAAATGTTACCATCCTGAGCCACAAATTTGGTATATCGTGTTCATTTCTTTCATGCAGTGCACTGGAGTTCTTGTCTACTTCCAAACTAGCAAACTTAACAGTGAAGGCAGAGCTTGGTTGCTGCTTGCTTCACAGAAGTGGAAGGCTAACGATAGACCTTTGCATACTTCAATGCGAGTCAAGCCCTTTAGACTATCTCTCATGTCCCATCATCAGTACAGCAGGCGGGAATGAGGTGTTGTCTTCAGCTGTGAAGACTAATGGTGATAGAGTTTCCGTTTCTCAAACTAGGATTGAAGGAGGTGCCAAAGCTGTCCTGACAAGCGGGGACCTCACATTGCAGCGAGTTCGAGTCATTTATGCTCGAACTTCTGTTTATTTCTGGTTTGATGTAGATTCTCAGTCATGATTGTTCATCCTGAACTTGTTTGTACCATGATGAAACTAGTGATATTATTGTTTCTCACTGTTGTATTTAATCGCAATTTAGATTATTTCATTTAATAAGATGCTTTCTAGCTTTACTTGCATAATAGCCAATACGCTTCCTATCCTGCCTATCAATTCTGAACATTAGAACTTTGTTCTGGAAACCCACAATTGATTTCTTTACAGGCTCCACTGCACAGAATGAGAAAAGTTACAAACACATACAATCTACAAAGAGTAATTAGACGCCACACTATCCCACCAACACCAAGCCGTGACATGCCAGCTAGGTTACTCGAACAAAAGATTCAACATGATGAGTTTCCTGTTGCCAAATTAACTGATAACAGCCATGGAAGCTACAATCAATGGACTCAACGACAGTAGAAATGAACCTCAAGCCCATCTCTTTTGTTTGATAAGTAACATGAAGCAAGAGAAATTCATTAAGCTCCACAGATGATCGTATTTGTCTCATCCACATATAGTTTCATCTAACCCTTGAAAACAGAACTTCTTGTAAATAGGCCCTTGACAGTAGAAACATTGCTTTGAGAAGTGTTTTATATTATCAAATCACAGAAGTGCAGGATGCTTCCCAGAGAGAGATCAATTTCACCAATGAGGCAGCTAAAACACCATTCGGTATCTCAGCAATAGATGAATATTCCAAAATAGATTAGGCGCAGGAAATCTCCTTTTACACCATCTAAGGCGCATTAGATGGCTGACAACCAGGCCATATAAGAGCAAAGCTCTGACGTAAACAAGTTTCTCCCGGCGTAGGACTCATCAAAAAGCTTCAACAATGTCATTCCTTTTTCATCAAAATATATTTCACTGGAAATATAATAATCCAAGACATACATTCAAGAAACTAAAATAAAACAGAAAAAAGGAATAAAAATAAAATATAACAGAAAAGAGAAATCAAAATGAAATATCCGAATAATCAAATAACCAAAAAAAAAAAAAAACCTAGAAAATCATTCATGGCTAACTTCCTAAAAACTAAAAAATCATAGTTTTATATATATATATATATATATATAGAACTGAAAAAACGGTAACCCTAACAAATAGCTTCCACAGCAAGGGTCTTACTGACATCATCGCCACAGGTAGTTGAGCCAAATGCATCTTCAGAAATATCAATGGTGCACGACTCATGGCCAACACATGCCTGTGAAGGACAAAAATCAAGGATAATATTTTCAATTCTTAAAACTATTAAAGTTGCAAAAAATAATGAAAAAAAAAAAAAAAAACAAACAAACAAACAAACTCCTTACCTTTTGGACAATGGATAAAGCATCATTTGCTTCCTCGCAATATCCCTTCTGAAAAGACCCACATGAACCTTCTGGGTTACCGAAGCTGGCAAATTTAATCTCAGAAATTGGTCTTCCTTGGCATGAGAGCTCGATTTTGTTTTTCTCCTCAGCCTTGATGCATGCTGATCCAATTGCAACGGTTTGGAAATTAACCCATGATGGGTTTCCACCAAATTCTTCGAACAACACCAACGTGTTATCACCTTCGTCATTAAGGAAGGATCTAGGAACATGATACCTATAGAGCAGAACATCCATTACAACGTTAAAGTCACAACAAAATCATCATCTAAAGTTAAAAAAAAAAAAAAAAAAGAGGGTTTTCTTATTACCATCTTTGAGTTGGATTGCCACAGTTAGAGACACATTTGTTATTATTGTATGAACCTCGATAATCACATGGTTCAAGGTTGCATCCATCCTCAGCAATGAAACTTGGCCAGTATCGACCGATGTTATTACCATTAACCCAAGCAAGACCTTTTCCCATCCCAAGTAAATCTACCACAACAGGATCTGTTCCTGTAGGAGCTTTGAAGGTGGTCTGAAAAAAAAAAAAAAAAAAAAGTTAAAAATAGTTGATAATGTATGCTGAATGTAAAACACATTCAAGTTAATTTAATTTAATTACCTTATACCAAGTTAAAGTCCTGTTTATGGGGTAATTATATTGTTTCCACTTAAAAGCTGAAGAAGATTGAAGATCGTAGAGTCTTTGCTGCAAGCCTTCCAATCCAACCTTGTAAGACCATTTATGTGATGATAAATCTTTTACTATTCTCTCATCACCATGATGGCCAATCAACTCAACTGGACCGGTAATTCCAGATGGTACCAAATCGAATTTTGTACCATAATTCTACAAAATATTAATTAATTAGGTAATTAATTAACCAGACTTAAAAAAATTATTAAGATTGACTTTTACGTAAGAAAATCAAAACTTCATTCGACAACGAATAAGATTAAATCGACAACAAATATTAGTTTAAAAAATTTATTGAATATTAAGATTGATTTTTACGTACCGTAAATCCAACGGTCCCACTGAGCAAACTAATTATGTTTTTCTCATGATGCAGCTTCACTTTTTGCTCAAAAACGAATTTCTGACCACCATTCTTAGACCATTGAGAACCTAAAAAAAATATGTATATATATAACAAAATTTATCAGAATTATAAATAATATTTAAAACATTTAAATATATTATAACTAAATATATATTTGTTACTTACCAATAAGTTTTCCATTAACAAATGCGTGAAGAATTTGGCCATGAGTTTTAACTCTAAGTGTCATGTTATGACTCCAAATTGGATCATCTTTTTGGAGATGCAGACTGTTAATCACAAAAAATAAGCAAATCAATCCACAACAATATTGGAAAGAACATATTTAAAAAAAAAAAAAAAAAAGATAAAAAAATATATACCTTGTCACGTAGAAAAGATAATCACTCAAATCATTTGCTGCATCTTTTTGGTCAATAAGCTGATCAATGGTTACATCTCCCCTTCCAAAAAGGATGGACTTGTCGTTAATTTCAGGTCTCCATGACCATTCGAAAGAAGCAGGCTCATCTTCAGCAACGTTTGCTTTCTTTACCATCACAGATGTTTGAGTGGAAACCTAGTAACATTAATAGGAAAAATTCATTTATGTTGTTATAAAATTTTGACAAAAGTATTGTAATAAACTACAGATTGTATTTAAATTAAAATTTTGAAAAAAAAATTATGATAAACTATAAATTGTAATTAAATTGTATTTACCTTAGCTGTATTGTACACCACATTTTGACAGTCAGGAAGTATACTGACAGACCATGCTGGAATAGTATAGTTTATGCCTTGGAAATTGACTGTCCTATCATTCAATGAGTCTGCATTGGACAAGAAGCAACTTGATCCACCTTCGGTTGCATATATTTTGCCCTAATAAATAAAGAAAGATATAAATAGAAATTCAATATTAAAAAAAGATTAAGTCTTAAATTTTTTTTAAAAAATAGAAATAAATACCCAGACAGAATCCCCTAAATCAACTGTGGAAACGTTTTCCCTGTTGTGAGAGTATCCTCCATAGAGTGCAAAATGTCATGAAGTTGCTTCAAGTGGCCCCATTTTGGTTGGTTCAAATTCCCTGTTAAAAATCAATAAAAAAAACCTCAAAAACATATGATTTTGATGTCAAACTTTGCATGATATGAAGATGATTATATTTAAATTGATAATAATTTAACCAGATATATAAAAAAACTTGTAAAAATATTAAATCAATTGTTACCATATTCATCAAGTGGTGCATCATAATCATAAGATGTAGCGATGTATGGACCGCCGGCTGATCTACCAAAATTAGTTCCACCATGGTACTAAAATAGCATAATATATATAATATGTTAGAACAAAAGTTAATCATGAAAAATTATAGTTATTATTACAAAAATTGTGAAAATAAATAATTTTTAAAGCATAAACTAACCATATAGTAGTTTTGGAAAGTGCCTCCCAATTCGTAAAATCTTGCTACAGCAAAAGCAAGATCCTCAGCTGTCCTGTGTTGATCCTTACCACCCCAATTCTTAAACCTAATAAAAAATTTCTATTAAATAAATTGGAAATACTGTTAATTTCTAATAATTAGACAAATAATATAAATAAGAACATTGAATTACCAGCCAGTCCAATTCTCAGTCCACATTTTAGGAACATCAGATCTACTAGGCGAAAATCCATCACAATACCAACCATTGCATGTATTGATCTGATAACAATAATTACAAAAATTAATCAGAAAGTAAAATCAAAACACTATTTTTTTTTATCATAAATTTAAAATATTACAAAAAAAAAAAGAAAAAAATATTCTATACCATTGTTTCTGGAGCATCTTCCTGTTGGCACATGATCCATGGAACTCCAATGTCAAGGGATTGAGCCATGTTTGCACACCAATGCATATATGATTTACCAGCATCACCATAGTCTTTCATGATATTACCATATTCGTTCTCAATCTAAAATATATATATATATAGAAAATAATTAATAATTTTGGCAAGAATATTTACTATAGATTCCAAAAAATAATAATATACCTGAGCAAGAATAATAGGACCTCCTTGTGATGCAAAAAGTTTCTCTTGTTTCATCATATCAACTATCAATGTAGTGAAATTTTGCATCTCATTCTAAAAAAACAATTAATAATAACAAATTAAAATAAGGTTACATAAAAACCAAAATTGATTTAGATAATTATTATTTTTACCTTAAAAACATCATTATCAGTTCTCATCTCAATACCAGGCATACTGTGCAACCACACAGGAAACCCACTGTTCAATAAAAAAATACAATATTAGAATATTAAATAAAATTAAAATATTATCATCACAACCTTCATGCATGTACGTACCCATAATTCCATTCAGCACAAACATATGGTCCAATTCGAAGAACAGCATACAGTCCTTCATCTTGAATTGTTTTAAGGAACCTTACGAGATCAAGGTTTCCGCTAAAATCGTATTGTCTACGAGCTGGCTCGTGAGCATTCCAAAAAACATAAGTTTCTATGGCGTCAAGGCCACCTTCCTTTGATTTTTTTATCAATTCTGGCCACATCTATATAGAATAAATTAAAAACTTAACACATTAACATATCATCAAAAATCAAAATATAAAATATATGAGTTTTTTCGACGAAATAATATCATTGAGCTACAGATACATGCACTTGTAAAATATACCTGAGTTGTGCTCCTCGGATAGTGAATGGATCCGGACACGAGCACTCTATGCTTGCCATCGATAATGATACCCCTGTTGTCATAAGTTACCTGAGTTGCAGTGGCCCAAAGGATAAATGTGCAGAAAGAAAAAAGAAAAATAGCAATTATTCTTGAAGGAGACATTCTTGGTACTGTGTTTATATAGAAGTAATCAGTTGAGATACACTTAATCTCAATTTTATCGTATATTATCCTTATCCTTTTTTGAAAACAGATAAAATCAGGCTATTTACTCTCTCTCTCTCTTTTCCTGTTCTTTTCTTCTATCATAACTGAAATAACAATATATTAATTTCATGATAAGTTTAAAATAAAAGATAATGTCCCAGTCTGTCTTAATAAAATAAAATCAGTGTATAATCTATTTTTATATTCTAAAATAATCTAATTATATCCTTATATTTTAAATTAATTTTTAATCTGTCATTTTTTTTTATCAAACCACTAAAAAATTTACATAACTTGCACATGAATAATTTCTTTCCAAAAAATATCCCTCAACTGTGCAAGTCACCTTGAGGGTATTTTTTTATTAAAAAAATAATTATGTATAAATTACGTAATTTTTTTCTATTTGGTTTGGTGGGAACAATTTATCAAAATGTCAAATTTTAAAATAGTAACTATTGTATTTACTTCATGAGCCCGCGAAAAAATAAAAATATTTTAACTTGGACTCAAATTTTTTTAAAAATTTTTTTTTCCGTCTCTATCTCTTTTTTTATGGAATAAATATTGATAATTATTCTTGAAATAATATAATACAACAGTGAAAAATTTTAAAATCTGGACCTTGTTGTATAATTTTGAGCGATCTGTGTCATGAATTGATATCGAGTTCATAGATCAGTATAACACTGCCTTCGTTTGCCACAGATGGCGTTACTTTGGCATCTCACCCTTGCTTGTGGCTCCAAGTAGAACGATCTGCCAAAGATTTATCGGAGCCTGGTGATTTTCCCAGAGCATTTAGACGGCCGTCTGTGCTGCTAGGTATCTACATGTATTTTTCAGTCTGAAAAGAGGGAAAGGAAAATTCATCATGATTACGTTCCTTTTAGGCCCGGTGACACCATTCTTCCTAATTGCAGCAGAGGAGAGGGATCTTGCCTGTAATATTCAAATAAACAAACCTCTTTGCCTGGTAGAGTAGACTCCTCATCCAATCGTTACCATCCTAAACCACAAAATTTGGTATATCCTGTTCTTTTCTTTATGCAGTGCACCGGCGTTCTTGGCTACTTGCAAACCTAACAGTGAAGACACAGCTTGGTTGCTGCTTGCTTCACAGAAGTGGAAAGCTAACTAACCATAGACAGTTGTAAATTTCTTCAATGTGAGGCAAACCAGCCCTTTGGACTATCTTTCATTCCCCAATCACGATCAGTATAGCTCGGGGAACGAGGTGTTGTCTTCCTCAGTGAAACTAGGATTGAAGGAGGTGCCAAATTAAGCTGTCCTGACAAGTGTGGACCTTGGCATTGCAGCAAGTTCTAGTCATATATGCTCGAAATAGTGCATTATTATTTCTCATTTCTGTAAATTCTTCCTCACTTCAAATAATTTCATCCAATTGATTCTCAGTAATTTCACTCCATATTTTAAAAAATAAAAAGTGTACATTCAGAGCTGTGTTTTGGTCCCATTGTTCCTTTTCTATAATCTTACAAGTTTATTTTTCTCTGCTTCTTGCATTTGAATTCTGAACATTAATGTTTTTGTTTTTCTAGAAAGCCACTTTAAAAGCTCCAGTGCAGAGAAAGCTTATGCAATGAGGAAACTTACAATAGAGTCGACAAAGAGGAATTAGACTGAAAAATTTTCAGGAGTAATAAAACCTACCTTGAACAAGAGCAGGAGATTGACAGAAGAGAACAGGAGATTATAATTAAAAAACAGAAGAGTAAAATAGGCTCTTGACAGTAGTAAAATCGACTCAAAGAACAAAGTTCATTAATAAGAAAACATTAGGGTCCAGCCAAAAAAGAATTCAATACTGTAAGACTAATCAGAACTAAGTAATACAATTTTTCTACATATCAATTCTCTTGCTACAGCATAACAATATTATTCTTTGTTTTCGTTTTGTGTGTAAGAGAAAATAATAAATAGCCAAAGATCCAGTGCCAAATGTTTCGGACATTATTTTAGCTATTTGCTGAAGTGTTTCGAAATTCAATTTGTATAATAAGTTTGAATTTCAGTTTGTTTTAAGAATTTTAAATTTAAAGATATTGTAATGTTAAAACCATAAAAATATGAAATATCAGAATAGGAAAGACTGTAAAATTTATTAAGTTGTCTAATAACTAAAAATTCTAAAAAGTATCTGAAATAAAAATTCTAAAAAATACCTGAAATAAAAATTCTAAAAAGTACCTAAAAATAGAAAAGATAGATAAAAAATAAAAACTAGAGAATTAATCATAAAAAAGAGCCTAGCAAACTGCCTCCACAGCAAGGGTCTTAATAACATCATCACCACAGGTAGTTGGGCCAAATGTATCTTCAGAAACGTCAATGGTGCACGACTCCTGGCCAACACATGCCTGTGAAAAACAAAACAAAAAATTAATAATTAAAATTCAATTCAATTAAAACAAATAATAAAATGAATTGAAAGGGGGAAGAAAGAGATTCGCCTGTTCGACAATTGATAAAGCATCATTTGAAGCTTCACAGGTCCCATTAGCAAAAGATCCACATCTCCCTAGTGGATTACCAAAGCTGGCAAATTTAATAGCAGAAATTGGTCTTCCTTGGCATGAGAGCTCGATTTTGTTTTTCTCCTCGGCCTTGATGCATGCTGATCCAATGGCAACAGTTTGGAAATTAACAGATGATGGGTCTCCACCAAATTCTTCAAACAAGACCAAAGTGTTATCGCCATTCTCATTAAAGAAGGATCTTGGGACATGATACCTAAAGAACAGAACATCCATTACAACGTTATAGTCGCAAACAAAATCATCATATAAAGTGAAAAAAAAGTTCATTAGTACCATCTTTGAGTTGGATTGCCACAGTTATAGACACATTTGTTGTTGTCATATGAACCGCGATAATCACAAGTATCAAGACTGCATCCATCTTCGGCAATGTAACTTGGCCAGTATCGACCGATGCTGTTACCATTAACCCAAGCAAGACCTTTTCCCATGCCAAGTAAATCTAAGGCAACAGGATCTGTTCCCAAAGGAGCTTTGAAAGTAGTCTAAAAATTTTCAAAAAGAAAAAAATAAGTTAAAAGAAAATAGGTATAATATATATGATGGGAACGTCAATGAATTAAGGTAAATTTTTAGGGTTAATGTAATTTACCTTATACCATGTGAACATCTTGTTTGTAGGGTAACTGTCTTGCTGCCACTTAGACGACAAAGGAGACTCAGAACTATACAGTTTTTGGTTCAAGCCTTCCAATCCCACCTTATATGACCATTTATGTGTAGACAAGTCTTTAATTACTGTCTCGTCGCCATGGTATCCGACCAGCTCAACTGGACCAGGAACTCCAGCTTCTGCCAAATCGAAAAAGGGACCATAGTTCTGTAGAATAATAAAAAATATATATATTAATTATGTAACTGAAAACAAGTATGTTGTAAAGAAAAAAATTCAGTATTTGGAATAATATATACCGCAAATCCAACAGTTGAACTGAGCAAACTGATGATATTTTTTTCCCAGGATTCAATTTTACTTGTTGCTCGAAAACATCATTAAAAACACCGTACTTAGCCCATTGAGAACCTAAGAGAAGAAGACAGCAATACAAGAATTATAATTCAAAATCGAAATATATAAACCCTATAGTTAAAATTTTATTAATAAATAAGATATTCTATACAAAGAATTTGTTAATTACCAAGAAATTCTCCATTAACAAATACATGAAGAATTTGACCAGTGCCGTTAACTCGAAGAGTCATATTATCACCCCAAATTGGATCATCTTCTTTAAGGTGAACACTGTTAATTAAAAAAATTAACTTATATCATTTACCAATAATATATCAATAATATTAAAATAAGAAACATTAAAATAAAAATAAAAAAATACCTTGTCATGTAGAAAAGATAGTCACTTAGATCATTTGCTGCCTCTTTCTGGTCAAGAATACGATTAATGGTGACATCTCCCTTTCCAAAAAGAATGGACTTATCGTTGCTTTCAGGCCTCCATGACCATGTAAGAGCAGCAGGCTCCTCTTCAGCAGCATTTGGTTTCTTTACCATCACAGATGTTTGAGTGGACACCTAGTAGGTAAAATTCAAATATAAGATTATAAAATTTTGAAAAAAAAAATATTATAATAAACTACAAATTGTATTTAAATTAGAATTTTGAAAAAAAATGAAAAGAAAAATTTAGCTATAAATTGTAATTAAATTGTATTCACCTTAGCTGTATTGTATACCACATTCTGACAATCAGGAAGTATACTAACAGACCATGCCGGTACATGATAGTCATTGCCTTGAAAATTGATTGTTCTATCATTCGATTGGTCTGCATTGGCCAAAAAGCAGCTCGATCCACTTTCAGTTGAATATATAGTGCCCTAAAAAAATTTAAAAAAAATAAAGTATTAAAACAAGATTAAGTTTCAATGTTTTGAATTTGATCTAAAAAATAATTAAAGAAAATATAAAACATACAGAGACAGAATCGCCGAAGTCCACTGAAGAAATGTTCCCTCTTGTGAGAGTATCTTCCATAGAATGCAAAGCATCATGAAGCTGCTTCAAATGCCCCCATTTTGGTTGATTCAAATTTCCTAATAAAATTATATGAAAAAAAAACATCAAATATATATAATTACAATATTACGATGATAATTATAATAAAATCAATAATAATTCAGTTACATGAATTCGTAAAAAAAAATTAAATTAAATTAATTTTTAATCATTTATTACCATATTCATCTAGTGGAGCATCGTAGTCATAAGATGTAGTGATGTATGGACCACCAGCTGTTCTACCAAAATTAGTTCCACCATGATACTGAAACACCATAATATAAAATTAATTTTTACACCCTGAAAAAAATAAATTAGTACAAATATAAGATTTAAACTAACCATGTAGTAATTTTGGAAAGTGCCTCCCAATTGGTAAAATCTTGCAACAGCAAAAGAAAGATCTTCAGCAGTCCTAAGTGGGTCTTTACCACCCCAACTCTTAAACCTAAAATAATAATTTTGGAAATAAATTAAATGAAATTAAAATTACCATTAAATTTCAATATTAAACAAATAATATAAAGATTTAAAATATTAAGAAAATAATATAAATAAATGAAAACATAGAACTTACCAACCGGTCCAATTCTCAGTCCACATTTTAGGAGCAGTAGGTCTATTGGGAGTGAATTGATCGCAATACCAACCATTGCATGTGTTGATCTAATAACAATAATATGACAAAATTAAATTAAAATATATATATATATATATATATATATATATATATATGCATGTGTTGATCTAATAACAATAATATGACAAAATTAAATTAATATATATATATATATATATTAAAACGAAATAAAAAAATAAAAAAAGAATCACTATATACCATTGGTTCTGGAGCATCTTCTTGTTGGCACATAAGCCATGGAATTCCAATGTGAAGCGATTGAGCCATGTTTGCACACCATTCTATATATGCTTTGCCTTCATCTCCATAAGATGACTCCACATTACCGAATTCATTCTCAATCTACAACCAATTTAATATCTTAGTAGAGTAAAAAAAAATAATTAATATTTTGACAAGCAAAAAAAATTACTGAGAAAGAGTTATGGGGTATAAAAAAAATGTTAATTCGGTCCAGATACAAATAAATTTTAAAATATTCTTTATCAATCTACAAAGACTCTCAAAATATATATCCAATTTAATATTAGTATTAATTATTAGTTAATCCATAGTGAAGCAAAACTAATAAAAATGTCTTAATTTTGATTCTGTAAAATAATATATAAATAAGCATCGTTTAAAAATAAGAATCGTTCAATTAGAAATTGCTGAATAAAGATTAGGCAGATCATATCTTAGTTAAAAAAAAAAATTGAAAAATCACATAAAAATAAGCATAATCTAAGCGAGAAAAAAAAGTTGACAAATTTCTTTCCTCAAGGGGATTTTAAAAACCAAATAGACTTAATAGCATATATTAAGATGAAAAAATAAATGGAAAACATACAAATTTAACTTAATAAATAATAAAATATTATTAAACCATATTGAAATTGTACAGATAACTATCAATGTTGTTATACCTGAGCGAGAATGACAGGACCTCCTTGTGATGCAAAGAGATTTTCTTTCTTCACCATATCTACTATCAATGTCGTAAAATTTTTCATCTCATCCTTGAGGGAAAAAAAATAATAAATGAGAGTTCTAATAAATGATTAATTATAATAAATTATGTAATTAAACAATAAACAACAAAACCGATTTAAATAAATTTTTTTACCATGAAAACGTCATTAGCAGTTCGCATCTGAATGCCAGGCATATTGTGCAACCAGACAGGGAAACCACTGGACAATAAAAAATACATTAGAATTAAGCTGAAAAAATCAAAACATTCAAAAAATAATTTCTATAATCTCTACATACCCATAGTTCCATTCAGCACAAACATATGGTCCAATTCGAAGAACAGCGTATAGTCCTTCCTCTTGAATTGTTTTAAGGAACCTTATGATGTCTAGGTTTCCACTAAAATCATATTGTCTTCGGGCTGGCTCATGAGCATTCCAAAAAACGTAGGTTTCTATGGCGTCAAGGCCACCTTCCTTCGATTTTTTTATCAATTCCGGCCACATCTATATAGAATAAATTGAAGAAAGACACATTAATTTATCATCAGAAATCAAAATATAAAGAGTTTTTTTGACGAAATAATATCACTGAGCTACAGGTATATATATGCACTTGTAAAATATACCTGAGCTGTGCTCCTCGGATAGTGAATGGATCCGGACACCAGCACTCTATGCTTCCCATCGATAATGATACCCCTGTTGTCATAAGTTACCTGAGTTGCAGTAGCCCAGAAGATAAATGAGCAGAAAGAAAGAATAAAAATGGCAATGATTCTTGAAGGAGACATTTTGTAGTGAAGTGAATGTTATTTTGGTAGGGTTTATTCTTATATTTATAAGAGTCCGTAGCTGTCAGTTGAGATTTAGTGAATCTGAAATCGATAATGTAATTATCTCTTTAAACAGATATATTTTATTCAGTTTTCAGTTTTACAGAATCTGATCATCACTTATCCTTTAGTTTATCTAGATTTAGTTTTAATTTTTGAAAATTTTAGTTTAATTTGAACTCTTATTTACTTTTTATTAAAAATAAAATATAAAAACAGATAATTCAAAAAAGATAAGACTTTTTTCCATTTTTTTCTATATCTGTATTAATTTTTCGATTTGGTTGTTATTATATATTGAACCAATTTATCCATAATATATATGTACAGATATGCTGACTCAATTAAGAATATAAGGTAAAATTGAAAAACATATCTTATTGTCATATTAGGATACATTAAGTTATTATTATTATTATATAAACATAGATTAAGCTATTAATCCTTTAAACCTACGATTGAGATCGAAATCTAACTCTTGAAATACATTGAATGGTTTTATATGTCAATCGGTATCAGCTAGCACTCTAGAATTCGATTTGTTTTTTTTTTTAATCAAATTTGACGGAACCAATATATTCTAATTGCTTGTTTAAAGCTTTCAGATGAAAGATAAATTTGAGTTTTGTTACCAAAAAACTTATAATTCAGTGATAGTAGTTTTTTATAATAAGATAGTACAGGTTCAAATACTAATAACTTAATATATATTTACAGATATGTTAACTCTATTAAAAATATAAGGTTAAATTGAAAAATATATCTTATTCTTATATTAGAATACATTAAGTTATTATTATTATACAAATATAGATTAACCTATTAACCCTTTAAATCTACGATTCAAATCTAATTCTTGAAATACGTTGAATGGTTTTATATGTCAATCAGTATTAGCTGACACTCTAATTTTCTCTTTGTTTTTTTTTTTTAATCAAAGAATCAATATATTCTAATTACTTATTTAAAACTTTCATATGGAAGATGAGCTTAGGTTTTGTCATTAAAGAGCTTGTAACTTAATGATAATTATCTTTTATAATAAAAGATTACAGGTTTAAATACCAAGAGACTGTTAACTCTGTTAGGACTTGAGTTTTATCCCTTAAATGTCATGATGGTGTTTGCTCGATCTTGTACCTGAAGGCTTATTGGATTGTTCAAAAATTGCAAAATGGCTATGTAAATATTGTGTTATCACTATAGAATTTCTTCTCCCCGTATTTCCAAGAAACTATCGAATCCTGGAGCGCTTAGCTAATCAAAACTGTACCATTAATACTGGTCGACTGTCAGGAGGTCCTATCAAAGAAGCAGATTTTTGGTGTCTCCTTTAATATGTTGTTTAACGCAGCCAAATATATATATATATATATATGCAATGTTAAGAAAAGGGTGTCAATAAAAATACCCTATGGGCTGAGGGTTAAAATAAAAAAGATTAAGTAATGTTAATCAAAATGGATTATAGTTAGAAGGTGTTTGTATCTATTATCCAAAAAATAGATAGAAACATTTGCACGATTTTTTTTACCCTATAATTCTAGGATTGAAGTAAAGAAAAAATCAAAGAATGTTGATCAGAATGGATTATAAATAGAAAGTTTTTTTTATGTATTAGAAAAATAAATACAAACATTTGGAGAGTAAATTATAAATTAGTCTCTCTTGTTTTAAAAATTATTATATTTGACTAATGTTGACTATGTTTAATTTAATATTATTTTCATCCTACAAAAGGTCTTCTTTTTTCATCAATATTTCTATAATTTTTTTTTCTATTTCTTAAAACAAAGAATCAAAATAAATCGAAAAACAAAAAAGCCAAGAGAACTAATTACAAATAGATTTAAAAATATAAGGACTGAATTATTAGTTTTTAAAATAAAATGGACTAATTAATTGTTTCTTGAAATGAAAGGGATTAGTGTATTATTTAATCGACATGAGGACTTTTTCTTTCTTTTTTTAACGTATCAGTTTGAACGAAATTTATTAAAATATATGGATATGTAGAAAAGAAAACGGGCCGAGTATTCCGCCCATTTAAGTCAACGTCATACGATAACCATTAAAATTTTTATGCCTATGATAGGCCCATACCGATTAAGAGATCACCCTGATATCCAGAGCATGCCCCGCCTACGCAATACCCGGCCTGTATATACTGACCAAACCAAGCTTTTTAATAAAGTTCATTTTGTAAGATTTTATTTGGTCCTTGCATTTAATAAATATTCTAACCGAGTCCTCAATTGGAAGTTCTTTTGTCTTTGTATTTTCTACAAAAACATTTTAATCCATATATCAATGGGTAGTTCCAACTTTTTTTTTTTTTTTACCAAAATTAAACCGTTAGTTTCAAATTAATACTGTAGAATTTACGAACATGATAGATCAAATTATTACTGGTTTCATAACCTATTTTTGATCGTCTTCATAATTATTTATTTTATTTTTATACAAAATTCAAATATTCAAAAAACTTGTATGCTGCATAGTACTTTGATGTTTTCTTGATTTTTAGGTATTTTTAGGATTTTAATTTCTCAGAATTATTTCTTTATCTTGATTAAATAAAAAAAAGAAAAGAAAAAAGAAGAAGAAAAGAAAGAAAAACAAGAATAAATTGAAAATATGATTTGAGGTCCAATTGAAAAAGATGTGAGGAGTGATGACCAAATAACATTCAATTAAGAGTGTAATCAAGAGAAATAAAAATCAAAGGTTTCTAATTGAGAGTCAATTCAGATGTAATTAAAAGAAACTAGATTTTATTTGGTCTTTATATTTAATAAGTCTTATAAGCAAGTCCTTTTGTATTCGTATTTTCTATAAAAAATATTTTAATCCATATATCAATGGGTAGTTCCAATTTTTTTCAAAATTAAGCCGTTACTTTCTTCAAATTAATAGTTTAGATTTTACAAACATTATACATACGCAAGATCAAAAAAATTAATTAACCAAAATTTGGTATCATTACATTATTTATTAAATAGTTAAACAAAATTTAGTTTCATAACATTATTCACTAAAAATAATTTCACACCGATTCAAAAAAATTAATTAACCAAAATTTGGTTTCATTACATTATTTATTAAATATTTAACCAAAATTTAGTTTCATTACATTATTCACTAAAAATAATTTCACACCGATTAAAACGTTTGGTTTCATTACATTATTTATTAAATAGTTAACCAAATTTAGTTTCATTACATTATTCACTAAAAATAATTTCACACCGATTAAAACGTTAAGCATCGATCAAGAGACTAAAAATATTTCATACATGAACCATGGAAAAGAAGGTCTACATGACAAAATTAACATGAATATGACATGACTTATCTTCTATTAAGGAGATGTGTTATACTTTTTTTATTAACTTTCAACTATTTCTAAAAGACTTTATACTCTTTTAAAATCAAATTTATAAAATTATAATTGAATGAGTTATTGGAGAAAATTAAATTTTGCCTCTAAAATTATATTGTGGATGAACCAATGTATGAACATTCTTCTTTGGATTCATTTATTAAATCCATACACATTTATAAATCAATATATAAAAATTTCAAGGCTAAAAATATCACATAATCTAGAAAACAAAAAAATAACAAAAAATTTTGAAGAGACATTTTCTTTGTCAGAATCATAGTGAAGAAAATTATCGGTTTATTGCTATATTTATAGGAGAATGTAGCTTGTCAGTTGGGATTTATTCAATCTGAAGTTTTAATTTGATCATCTTTTTATAAATATATTTTATTCAGTTTGACACAATCTGATCATCTGTATTTTATTTTATGTAGATTTTGTTTTAATTTTGAATTTTTTATTTTTTATTTTTTAACTTTAAACTCTTCTCAACTGCATACAAACGCTATCCTATTATCCGAAAATTTTAGTTTTTAAAGTCAAATAATGAATGGTCAAATCTCTTTGACCACCAGGCCACCTTCTTAAGGTTAAATTAACTAATATACTCGATTAGTGTTAATTAGTTTAGTAGTAGTTAATCCCAAGAGGTTGGTTTGATTGTTAAGGAAGATTGCTTCTTTCTGTGACTTAGAACCTTGGAGTCAGCATATATGATGATTTATTGAATTACTTTGAATATATTGGACTAATATAGGAGTGCGTCCTTAAATCGCTTGAAAAAAATACTTAATATTAGTGACGTATAAATTAATTTAAAAAAAAACCTTATCAAAAAGAAAAAAGCTAAATAATTTTGATTGGTTTTAGCGTGGCACTCCAGTGTGAAACTACTCTTTTTTTTTTTTTTTCTGTTTATGGCATAACGTGATTGGCTTTTGGAATAATTGCAATATAAATACACCAATTTTTATTTTTTTTGTTAATCGAATATATGATTTTTTTTATTACTCTAATTTTTAAAACGCTAATTAAATACTTATTTCAATTTCTTCATTTATCTATTAGCTCCAGAATACTAAATTAAAAATTTATATTTTTTCAACTGAGTACATAAATTTTAATTTTTTCTATTTAAATACATTAATGTTTTCAAAACTATCAATCAAATGCATTTGTAAAAATTCTTAATTGACCATTTAAAAAAAAATCCGTGTATTAAAAGAAATTAAATTCCATGTTTTTGATTGGAAAAAAGTTAAAAATTGGTTACTTATAGTGCAATTTTCCCCCTTGGTTTTAACTATTTTCTTCTTCTTTTTTCAAATTTTGCTCGAAAAAGTTTTTTCCTCTATTTCCCAGCTATTGGTTGTGCTTACATTGCCATTTTGCATTTTTGTGCTTCGAAGGAGAAAATAATAACAATAGAGACAACAAAGAGGAGAGAAACCGAAAACTTAGAAAGTTGTTAACGCACAACTACACCACACTGCTAATGTTGAGGAATGTTGTTGCCAGAAATAGAAGTACTTCTGGTAAAACAGTTGCATTTAAAATTGTGATTCAATTCCCTCTAATTCGCAAACTAACTGCCATATTGCAATAACTAGGAGAGCCACATTGACGAAATTGGCATCATCTATAAAATTTGAAGGCCTAACGAGAAACGGAAGACCACCATACAGATCGTCACATGTCGACCGGATTTTTAATCCCAGGAAAGAACAGGGTAAGCATCAGACCATACGAACAGGGTAGATGATTGCAGTAAGCTTTGATTCCTGGACAACAGATAGTGGCAAGCAGCAGCCCAAATGACGCCAAAAGCCCTAAGATACCAGAGGAGCCAGCAGCCGCCCATACGACACCACTGATGATGAAGGAAAAAAACAGCACTCCTATAGCATCAGGAACCGGAGAACAGGGAGTCCATCTGACATCGGGAGGCCAAGAGCAGCATGTAACACCAAACGGCTAGATGGTAGCAACAAGCATAAAACACCATTAAAAGGCCAAAACAAATCGGCAGTGTTGAAACGCAAATGTTGAAGGCCCATTGCAGCTTCACATCGACACAACGGATTCTCCCAGAGACTGAAAGAGCAGAAGGGAGGGGGTGGGGGTCTAGAGGGAGGAAGCAAGAAGAGAGAGGGGAGGGAGAAGAGAAGGCAGTGCAAAAAAGAAGAGACAGATATTTACCCGTCTGATGGGTCACTCTGAGACTGCTCTCACATACCATTCCTTCAATAGATTCTCTTCGACTACAATTCGCTATTCTGCAGCTATTATAAATAACCAATTAACAGCAAATAAACATCAGGCAATCCCCACTTCCATATCATCCCACGCACCAGATAGATACGATGAACGGTTCGGTTCGGAACCAATCAAGTGAAGATGCTGCTGAAAGATTTAAAGCATTAACTATAGGAATAGAACTGGTCCTTCTGCTCATCTAACTGATGCATGTAACAATAAGCAAGGAAGCATACACCTTCAAATGTAAACAACACGTATGCTATGTTCACTGTCTTTCTAAGAAAAGCTGTGATAGATTATGCAAACAAATACCCTTTGCAAAATGTAAGCTACAAATAAGTATGAAATCACATCATTTTACTCCAAAATTAACAGAAAGTTATTACTGCCACATATAAATTAAGCATCATAGGCAACACAGATAACATTACAAATTTCCAGCATCAATGGGGCATTCGTCACCTACAAAACACACAAATCTAATAAAACCTAAATTCTAAAAGTTTAACACTAACCAACAACTCTCTATATTTAATTATCACTATCACTATTGTTAACATTATTGCTAGTAATATTGTTACCAGTATGATGGTGGTGGTGGTGGTAATGATTACCACTAGCATTCGCTCCCTTTCTCCCATTCTTTAACTGCGAAATCTCCATCTGTGTCTGCATAAAAAACTGCATCCTTTGCAACTCCAACTCTTTCGCAAACTTCATCCTCGTCTTCTCCATCTCCACCACTTGCTGCAACTTCGCACTCTCAGCTTGCTCATAAGCTTCCCCAAACTTCAACATTGCTTGTGTCAACATCCTAATCGAATTCCCCCACCCTCCTTTCTTTTCCTTCCCTCCTCCTTTCCCACCTACTTCCCTCCCCACCACCACTCTCGCCTTCTTCTGCGGCGGAAAACTATCATCAGATTCCGCACCCTCCTGTTCCTCCTCATCCTCCTCCTCTTCATCCTCCTCTTCCTCGTCCTTACCCCGTTTCCGCATCTGCATTTTCATAGTCTGATTCCGAAAATGATACTGATTCGTCCCACCCCTCCCACTGCTACTACCACTACGGACCCTAACAGGAATCGCAACAGGAAATTTACTACCCACACTACCACTACCACCAGCAGAAATCCTCGCAGTGGACCCAATTAATCTATCCAAAGGATCAAAAAAAGGCCAAGAACATGGCCCACCGCCCGAAGCCATTTTCGCTTTTTCCAATTTGTACTTTTTTTCACAGTATCAATTCTATTCTTACATTGAATATCAGTTTTAGCAGATTTTGAATAATCCTCTCTACTACTTACAATTTCCGCCACTTCTTTCCAGTGCTGCTGCTTCAAGTTCCCTCTGCTCAACTCTAAATACCTTTCTCCCCAGGCGTCAATCAACACGGCTGTTGCTCCTTCGCTCCAGCAATCCTCTCTTCCTCCTCCTCCGCCGCAGTTCGTTTTCAACTTCGTTGGCAAAACAAGGGCTAAGCTGTTGTCGTTCTGTTGTGGTGGTGGCGGCGGCATGGATAGAGGCACCGTTGAGGTGGCGGGAACAGTTACGGTGATTCTTCCGTTCGGTGGTGTTGGTGATGGTGAGGAAGATTCGGTGGTGTTTGAGTGTGACTGTATCTCATCATCGTCATCCATGATGGATAGTCGGTGAAATCAACGGTCAGATCTGATTTCGATGATTCTGATGAGAGAAAGAGAGTCAGCGAGAGCGAGGAAGGGGAGGAGGTGGTTTGGTTTTTTTCTGAGTTGTTGGGCTTTTGATGGTTGACGGGAAAGTAAACGGTGACGGTGAACAGGTGACACGTGGTGGGAGAGGGATGGAAGAGAAAATATAAGGTGTAGGAATCTGATTGGTGGGGGGATAAATTCCGTCACCGGCAGGGATGGAAGTGAGACTGGGGATTGTGTTGCCGGCTTGCTAGGTGAAAGCACGTGTATGTTATGTGATCGCTACGTTCTGTTAAAAGGGCTAAAAATCATTTATGGTCCCTAATATTGTACTATTTGGTCAAATCAACTACTTTACTTCTTTTTGGTCAATTCGAACATTCTACTTTCAAATTTACTGCTGATCAAGTAACCAGTCTTTCTATCCTTCTAATCTTGCTTATTAGATAGTTGTGCCTGCATGCACGAGAGATTATTTGGTGAATATTAGTAGTAAAAGCTAATTATTATAGGCTGCCCGATATAAATGTTGAGAGCGAGTATTTGTTTCTATTAATTTTGAAGGACTTGACCATTGATAAGTTGACAGTCAGGGATTCAATTTGATAAAAGAATAAAGTAAAAGTATTGTTCGAACAATATCTCAAATTTTGGCAAATATTTCCTTTCAATGGTGGTATTTTCCACAATTAATCTTAGACCGACGAGAGCGTCGCGTGATAGACTTCTTCCTCTAAGGTTTGCCCGAACCGACTTTGGCTTCTTTGCACTTCAGACTTCGGAGATCTAAAGTTAAAAAACAGTAGAGAACATTACCATTGCAAGACCTAAAAAAGAGACTCAAATTTCCATGTCTGCTTTAAGACAAAACTTAATTCCAAAAACTCGTTGGAAATAGAAAGTTTCTCCTAGCAAAAACCTAGTATTACTTTCAAATGAGCTAACACAACATGGCCCACAAACCATATGCAGTCTCCATGGGCAAATCGCTGTCAAGTTTTCTACTAAACTCAGTACATAACAGGTTGCTTTATCATCTTCTTCTTCTTCTTCTTCTTTTTTTTTTTTTTTGGCTTTTCATAGTATTGTCACAGCATACAAGGTTTCTAACTTGCATACAAATATCACATCTTTCCTTCTTTCTCCGCGTGTAGCTCTTACAGACTATTTGCTTCACCACAATCACAAAAACGGCCATTCTTGGCCTCTCTCTCTCTCTCTCTCTCTCATTTGTCCCACTCAATAATTCTGCCTCTCTCCAGCATAAACAATGGTTAGCACGCTTCCACACACTGAGCTAAAATTTCCGCATCCCAATCCACCGGTTCTTCCATGGTAATTCCAAAACTCTGAAAGTTGAAACTGGAAAATATCAGCAACAAGCCAGCAAACGAGCAATGGCTCTATTTTCTCCCAAGAAAGTATAGAGAGAGCTAAAAACATTGATATTTTATTATTATAAGCTATTATAGTTTACCATAATTGCAACCCAAAAAAATAAAACAAAGAAATTTTTTTTTTTTGGTCGTGAGAAACTCTCATATGGACCTTATGGATGCAGCTTAATAGATTCTCTATGTACACACAACATACATGTATTCTTTTGCAATGCATAATCTTACTGTGACTTGGAATCAATTAAGGAAAAGCAACTGAATGTTGCATTGGCCACAATTAGGGAGGGATAGCAATGGACCGGGTATGGAGCATGTATCCGCTTTACTCGATCCAATAATTATCTATTAAAAATTTCTAATAAGTATTAAAACGGATAAAGATAAAAAAAAATACATATCACCTAATATGGTTTCAAGGTATAAGAACCCACTCAATAACCTACTAATACCTAGTAATTTTATTTTGAATTTTTTTTAACAATGAAAGGATCTAATTGCATAGAATTTTAAAATTAGAGATTAAAATATATTTCTAAAAACTTTTGAGGACCAAAAAAGCTAATGAATAAAGGACCAAAAAATGAGAAAAAATATGTTTAAGGACCAAATTTTTTTTTTTGAAAATTATAGACTAAAATGAAATTTTTTTACAAATTGTTTTTAGCGGTATTAAATGGGTCGAATGGCCAGGTAAACTGGATATGAGCCACGGTCGGGTAAACTAGATATGAGTCATATAAGGATCGGGTCAGGATCTATAGTGATTTTTTAATGGAGGATAGATATGGCATTTTTTTTTTAATAGATAGGGTAAAAAATTAAATTAATGGGCCAAATACCCCACCATTCCCATCCCTAGCCAGAGTTGATGAGAGGAATGAAAAAAATTTCAGCGGGGAAAAAGCAAATGAAGCTCTTGAAAAGCAAGCGTGCAGAAAAAGATGAGAAAGAACTGAGAAGGGTTTGGAACGACAAGAAATGCTAGCATTCTAGCAGCTAAACAAACTCCATTTCCATTTGTTCGGCGAAAGACCACCAGAAAGATAGCATGATTCGTGCTTCACATTGAAAACCTTTTTCACGGTGAAAATCTGCTCATTCTTGGCAAACTCTATTCAAAGAGGAAACTTACTGAAAATACGATAAACAAAAGCCATCAGAGCTCAATTTCCTGAAGCAATCCTTCGTCGCACCACCAAATCATCGGCAGAGTAATAATCTGCAATGAGTCGATACATGTATGATGGATTGTGCCCTCCACTGTGAATTAATCAGAAATAAGTAATTGTCAGAATTGGATGAGAAGAAAATGTAAATAAAATTGAATTATTTAAAATTTGGAAGTTGGAAATGGACAGAATTATATCAATCCCATCTGGATTTAGCACAAGAGACCAAACAGTGGGATACGAATTATTCTTATCAATAATTTGTCACTTTGGATCAGTGATTTCCCATAAATCAATAGGATTAATATAAAATAAATGCTGTTAAATATGTACTTATCCAAAATAGATGATTTCCTCAAAAGTACTGGACTTACGTGTCAGTGATAAACAGACTAACAAGCTTTGGTGGCACATAATCGAATGCTGGATTGACAACATGAAGAAGAGGAGAGCCGCTGCCGCTCCCAAAATCCAAGCAATCTGAGAATTCCCCAAAATCCAGCAGCTCAGATGGGGATCTCAATTCATTTAGTAAGACCTCAGGATTGTGAGGGTACAAGGGACACAACTGCCATGCAGGAAAAACAGCCAAGTGTAAGGATTAACTATTGATGCCATCCAGTGTGAATTCAACAAAAAAATCCCATATTCATTTTTCTCCCTTTGTCCTTGGTTTCATAAACAACTTTCTGCCCTCTCTAGGCATTTTCATCCCTGTTACGAGTACTAGATTTCTAGAAACTAAACATTTGGAAAAAAATAAAAACAACTACAAATCGATTTGATATACAATGATATGAGTTCAGAAGAATGCACCAAGTTAAAAAAGACAAAATGTTACGTGTTAAGGAACAGAAGGCAAGAGTTCTTTGTTATAACTTCCAACTTCTGTGCTTATAATTCAATCAAATTAGCTTATTAGGGTTAAGCTAATTCAGTATGAGCTGGCACCAAGGCCCTGCTAAAAAGGATTGACACTGGCGGAATAAAGAAGCTGGAGAGGAAATGACAAACATCTTCTGGGTCACAAAACAAAGACTGACACTAACAGAATAAAGAGCTGATAAGGGAACAACAAACATCCTCTGGGTCACAGAATAGACATTCCATTTATTATTATTTAGTTGTCTTTTTGTCCGTCACAAGTTGAGCAGTATAACAGCAGCATACCATTCAATAGCAAAAATAGAGCATGCAATATAGATATGGCAGTTTGTTTGCTTGCTTGCTGCCAAAAACTCTAGGGACAAGTAGGGATATTATTTTGCTAAATTACCTTGTGACTGCCTGCAAGCACAACAAAAGGTACAGCATGCTTTTGAGCTGCAAGTGCAACCATATTCAGCCCAACAGGTGCTATCACACCACCATTGGCCATAACAGCATGAGCTCCAACTATAACCTTCACATAACAAATTTAAGATAAATTAAAAAGGCAGCAGACCAATACCACAAAATAGAGAAGAAAAGAAAAAAACTAGACCCTCTCATACCATGTTCACTCGGGAAATCATGGCAAAAACTGCAGAGTCAGTAATCAAAGTGGTCTGTAAGCCTCTTGCAACCAATTCTTTCGCAAGAAGATGCCCTTGATACCTAGTTGAATGCCAATTGATGATAAGAAAATTTGTATTTAACAAAGAGAAGACTAAAATTCGACCAGCTAAAAATAGTTATATAACCCAGAAACTAACATCAAGTGACTTGTACAAACCTCGGAGCACCCTCAGCAACAAAAACCCGGAATGATCTTTTCTTTTCCTTTGCAGCGTAAAGAAATTCCAACACTGTCTTTGAACTACCTAAAGTTAATATTACCTCACTGAAAAGATGTTTAATAATCGTATCAGTAAAACAAAGTGTCAAAAACAATGAATTAACATATCTAGCAATTAAGAATCTAAGTTAAGGAAACTAAAAGTTTACTCTAGCCAACATGTAAAATGGAGTGTTTTTGGATTAATCAGTGAAAGAGGGCATAACCCTGTACGCGTGAACAGAGAAATTTTTTAATGAGAATTACAACTCTGACCATTTTGGCTACTGATACAGCATCTGCAAGGCTGTAAGCCATGCAACTGAGATAACTGATCTGAAACTTTTCTTAAACCAGGGACATTTTCTCTTTGGCAGGGAAATTTAGCACTAAAAAAACTGAAAAGATAACAAAAAATGAAAGATTAAATCACATCCACATTTGACACTCCAATATTCAGTTCAATGACTGCACTTTAAACATTTAAGGCACAAAAAAGGAGCTCACAGGACAGTAAAAGCAATGCCATGATACCCAATTTAAAAATGGCTACCCCGTGAACCATAATAACCCACAGCATAGGCTCAATTGATGGATGAAGCCATCCCAATATCCCATGATAACCCACAGCATAGATTCAATTGT